AACATATACATGTGTTGACTTACTCCTCACAGCAACCCCATTACTATCCCCTCGTCTATTTTATAGATGAGGAAACCAAGGCTCCGAGAGGTTACACAACTTGCCGTAGGTCCCAGGTTGTAAATGGGGAAACTGGGATTCAGCCCAGGCAGCCTGGCTCCGGAGCCTGTCCTCCCAGCCCTTGTTGCCTGTTTCTGTTCATCTCCTCCATTAGGTTCCATAAGGCCCCTGGCAACGTGGTTCCTGCCTGTCTCCCTAGAGCCTGGCGCTGGCCTGTGCCTATGATGCTCAGGAAGCGTTCACTGCATGGGGTGGGCGCTGGGGCAGAGGCGGCACAAGCCATTCTCAGGCTCTGAGCAGGGCTGCTTTCTGGCTGCTCGGTTTGAATCCTCAGTAGCTTCATTTAGGAGCCAACCTCAACTGCCATAGGGTTCCTTTCTGCCCAGCCTGGTTTGTGTTCAAAATCCAAACTGTCGTAGGTATTTGGTAGATTTCTTGGTTCAGGTTTTAACACAGTCAGAGCTCAGTAGTTATTAACCCTACGTGTTCAGTGCCATCCCTGGATAGGGTCTAGAACAGGGGTGGGCAAACTTTTTGACTCGAGGGCCACAATGGGTTCTTAAACTGGACCGGAGGGCCGGAACAAAAGCATGGATGGAGTGTTTGTGTGAACTAATATAAATTCAAAGTAAACATCATTACATAAAAGGGTACGGTCTTTTTTTTTTTAGTTTTATTCATTTCAAACGGGCCGGATCCGGCCCGCGGGCCGTAGTTTGCCCACGGCTGCTCTAGAAAGTGGGTTTCTGTTCGTCATGGGCTCTGATGTAAACCGAGCCAAACTCTAGGCTGCCCCTCCAGGAGAGCCGTCCTGGATGCCCTGCGCTGAGAGGAGCGGCATCGGTGTGGAGAGGGGGTGCTTTCCCCCTACGCCCGGGGAGGGGCTGCAGCAGGGCGGAGGGCCTGCAGGTCAGAGGTCAGAGGTAGCTGGTGGCCCGCAGGCTTCTCTGCCTTCCAGCTGCTGTCCAGCAGTGGCTACCAGGGGAAGCTTAACCACCGCACTCCGTGCAGAGTACTGTAGACCATTGAGTTCCTTTAGAGACTGACAAACGCTTGATGGAGCCATTCAGTCGAGAATCTTGGTGCCTTAGAACTGTTAGCCATTAGCCACATGTGAAGCGATGGTCTGGGTTGACCTGCTGTTAGCTGCCTACTTGTTTGTGCCGTCAAACACAGTATATATGTATCAGTAAGAGATTTAATTACAACAAAAGTCTGGGACACACACGTGAAGTAGATGCAGGCACGATCCATCACTCTGTGGGGTCAGTACGCAGGGCCCCTGACGAAGGTGGCATCGTCAGCGCAGGGAAGTCCCCCGTTTGACACACACTTGCTCCTCCTCTGCGATTGTTTTTGAAACTCATGGGGTTGATAGACATTGGCCATGACAGATTTCTCAACCAACTGATAGCTTAAGCTGTACAGGGGCATGTGTATGTGTGTACAACATCTGTCTTCAGCTAATAGCACTATGACATAGTTACTCATCGTGTAAGCGAAGAACAAATAATGGCTGGCCACCTGTTGACCCTCGGCTGAAAGGCGAGGTCAGCCAAGTGGAACTGGTTAGGTCTTCCTGTGTCACCTTGTTTGGGTTTGTTGTTGCCTAAGGAGAAGGACAGGGCTGTTTTCATTGCTCTGGTCCTCGGCTGGGCCTCCAGTGCGTGTCAGAGAGCAGTGGCGGGGCGCAGGCTTGGGCATGGACCTCTCTCGCCGGTGGATATCTGCAGTGTATCAGCCACTGTATCAGCAGCCCTTCCCCGGGGAGGCCCGTCCGTGCTGCACAGCCGACTCCCTGACGTGTTCATGGAGTTCAAAGCCCGGGTTGGTTTGGTGCTGACATTTTGGATTAGCTGGTTGACTGGAAGGCCTGCTTCTTTCTATACACTGTGAAATTTGTAAACCGCAGCCGCCGAGGGCTTAAAATGGCCGAGCAGCCCCCAGCTGGCAGCAATTAAGTACACCACAGACCTCTGGCTAAACAAAGGTTTGTGGCGTCAGAGTTGCTGCATATGCACTAGGCAGACTGGTGTTGTAAACTACCTTTCATGTCCAGGTTAGTTAGCAAGAGGCGCTGTCAGCTGCCGAGAGGTGAGTGGGCGGAGTGTTGCCACCTCTTGTTTAATGATCTGTTATCCGCAGGATGTAGTGCCAGACCTGCCTGAGAAGCAGCCTGTCTGGACAGTAGAGGTGAGGGTGAGGAGAGGAGCGGGGCAAACAGAGGAGGCCCGGGGAGGTCCCGGGGGGTCCCCCCAGTGGTGGGCCTGAGAGCTTGGCAGGGATCTTTCAGTTCTGGTGCCCATGGGCAGGCGCCAGCCACTCCACCTTTTTATTGGACACCATTTCCATTTAGGTAGAGCAGAGAGGGTGGGAATGAGAGGACAGTAAGGTGCCATTTTATACCCATTCGTGCAGCAGAAAGCTGCTGGCGATGTGGTGATGTGAGGCACACTTACTTCCATCTCCCATAGTCCATGGCTATATAAGATGTGGGCTCCAAGGCTCAGGTCCAGAGGGCAGTGCCTTTCCTTGGCCTGTTGGGCTCCCTGGGTCCCATCAGAGGAGGTTAGGGCTTGGAGTAAGTTTCCTCTCTTGGGGGCATGTTTTTTTCCACTTTAATGGAAGATCGTTTCTTCCGAGGGAAGTGCCTGTGTTAGCGGAGGCATAGCTTCATGACTTTGCCTCCAGGCTCCTCCTCTGCTTTGAAGATCAGTGAACGGGACAGACCCACCCCAGCCCTTTCCATCAGGAGGGGATTCTAGCTGGTTTTCATTTTGCCTTGACTTTGTAGACTGTCAGAGCCCAGACGCCAGTCTTCTAGCTCTCCACCAATTTGCATGTCACCTTTCCTTTCTTAGTTCAATAGTCACAGTGGCCCTATCCCTGCCCCCACCCACAAACACATTCATTTATTTACTCATCTAAGGTGCGTTGCTTCTCCCCCGTGAATCAGGCTCTGTTCTAGTTCCCGGGCGAGAAGGAACGAGACAAAATCCTCTTCTCATGGCGCTTATACTCCAGATGGGGTGCCATGCAGGGAGCAAATATTTGATCTAAGTGAGATGTGAAGCTAATGTGTTTTGAGCACGTGACTGACTGATCTAACTTGCATTCTGAAAGGGTCATTCCCATCACTATGAGGAGAGTGGAACCGGGTGGAAATAGAATAAGGTGTAAGGTTATTGTAATAATCCGTTACCAATCCAGAGGTCATCGTCAGTTGTGACAGAGATGGAGGGATGTTGGATTGGGGATGCAGATGGACATCGAGCCTGCAGAGCTCCCGATGGGTTGGGGAAGATGCTGAAAGGCGGTGAGGAACAGGCCCCGTCACATCTCTCTTGGAGGGGCCTCTGAGCTTCTGCCCCAATAGCCAGACCTCTCCCAGGAGCTTCCTAGGGACAGAATGGTAGGACCCCCGTGGGGAACAGACACTTGGCAGTGTTGGGAGTGGCGGTGGGTGTTTCACTAGGTGGGGGCGAGAACAGGGCTCTGCTGTCAGGAAAGCCCACCTCGCTCCCTCCCTTGGTTTCCTTACATGCCCTGATGGCTGCGTCCTCACCAGCAGTTGCCCACCTCTCCGCCGATGGGTCAGCAGCAGCCGCTCCGCCACCCTCCACCCTTCAGTCACTAGTTGGGATCTAACCAGCCAGCAGGAGGCCTGAGTCTTGAAGAAGAAGGCATGAGACTATTGCTAGTGGGAGTGTATGATATAAATAAAATTACCTTTTACCCATTCCTTTAGCACAGACTGTAGGGACTACTTTACAGTCTCTTTACATCACTCTGGAAGAGCACAACTAGTAGTTCTTAGGGCACTCTTATTCATGAGCTTTTAAAAAATCCTTGCTGGATTTCTGGCTTTCCAGCACAGCAAAACAACATCCCCCAGGTGTGGGCTTCGGACGTCCTGGCCTGGTGAGCGGAGTGGAGTGCGGGCCTGTCCAGGAGGCTTTGCTCTTGCCCCAGGTTTGCAGGTAGCCTATTGCATGGCCAGTGGCAACTTGCTGACTCTCTCTGCCCATATCATGACCCCAATTGGCCCCCTGGAGCACTCATCGCCCTTGCAAGGACCTGGTTCTGAAGCGCCGACTCGGGGTGTCTAGAGGGGTGTTGTGCTTTGGTGGAATCCAGGAACAAATAATGAAAAGTACAGCAAGTACAAGGCCGCGGACAGACCCGGTGCACTCTTATCAGTCATCTGAAATATGCACAGCCTTTCCAAGACAAATACGGACTCCTGTTTCTAGGAAAACACCAAAAAGCACTTATCAGTTATCCTGTATGTGGTTTGTGGACAGAGACAACATCACTGCCCCGAAAGCCATAGCAAAGCAGATTCCTTCGGGCAGCCGACAGCTGAGTGGCCTGAGTGAGAGCCACTGCAGGACCCAGGCTGTGGCCTGGGGCCCGTCCACGGAGCCTTTCTTCCTCCTCACGTGGTTCCTGGGCCCCTCACCCTGTTCCCAGGCAGCTGAGCGCATCGTAGAAGAAATCCAGCAGCTGGGCATGTGCTTTTAAATGCCCGCAGTCCCTCACCCTTCTTCCCCACCCTGAAAGTCTGGAGGTGCCCAGATCGAAGTCCAGCAGTGATGACCACAGCAGGCACAGCCACCTCTGGTGGACAGCCACATTCTGTCAGGCACAGGCGTGTCGGGCATTATTTTATTTGATTTTACAAAGAAAAGGAACCGAGGGTTAAAGAAGTTAACCGACTTGTCCATTTTCACATAGCTAGGAGAAGGCGAAGGCAAGGTTCTAATTCAAAATTGGTGTCTTTAACCCCAATCTCATTGTGCATCACAGCGAATACTGTGGTTTAATTCCAGTCACTAAACACAGAGTGTGTGTTGTAGTAAGTAGTGGGTTTGTCTTAGATGAAGCTGGGAAATCATTTTAACACCTAACCTCTGCTTTTTGTCCCTTCCCCCATGTAGGACGCAGGCGCACAGGGTGCGGAAGCCGCGGTGCTGCACGGGGCCCCAGGGGCTGCTCCCCCGCTACTCGGAGAGCCAGGCCGAAGGGCAGGAGCAGCTCTTCAAGCTGACGGACAACATACAGGACGAGTTGTAAGTGGGGAACCGGCCCTGTTGGTTGCCGAGTTGTCTTTTCTGTCTCTGAGTCTGAGAAGTTCCCATCTGACCCGAGTATCATCATGACTCTTAGACCTTGGAACTGGTCAGAGATTCCTGGGCCCAAATGTTTTAGAGGTTCAGATAAGCCGCTTGAAAACAGCCTTTTTCTTAAAGCTGTGCTTCTCAAACTGAGTTTCAGAGTGGGGCCTTCATGTTTTATTTCTAGAAAGTGGCAGTTTCTTTCTAGATCAAAGAGAGGCGATAATAAAATACTCTCAATTTTAAGGGTTTTTTCCAAAACCCTGTAAAATTGTCTCAAACTTTAGTGTTCTAGTGTTTGCTGCTGAAAGCTAGTGAAACAAAGCAGATAAACCAATAATAACTAGTAGCTGAAAATTTGGGGAATGCAATTTTCTTAGGATTGTTTTGTTTCTCTTTGAATGAGGAGCCTTCTATTCCTGGGCTCTTGTAGTATTTTAAACTAGTGAAATTATCCCGAGTTGATAGGATAGAATTCAGTATATCACTATTTTAGGGTATTCTGTGGGGACTTTTCATATAATATGCTCGTTAGCCTAAGTAAGTGTTAGAGCCACCAGCCCAGAGAAAGCAGTTAGTTATGCCTGATGAGTAGCAAATGCTAGTTTAATTTCTTTTATTTATTTTTTATCCTTACCCAGGGATATGTTTATTGATTTGAGAGAGAGAGAAAGAGAGAGAAACATTGGTCAGTTGCCTCATATAGGTGCCCCAATGGGGAATCGAACCCACAACCTAGGTATGTGCCCTGACCGTGAATAGAACCACAGTCTTTTGGTGTACGGATGACACTCCAAACAGCTGAGCCCCCGGCCAGCGCTAGTTTAATTTCTTTCAATGGTTATGTATCACTTTAAGATAAAGCAAACGAGGGAAGTTTCTGAGGGCTGTGGCTGCTTTTGGGTTGGTGGAGAAGTGTCCGAAGTAGAGGGTAACCTTCAGTGTCATTGGTAGAGACAGTGGTGAACTGACTCCATCTCGTATTTCTGTAGCAGCATTTGAATGGGGGCATCAGCAGTCAAATCCAGAATCCATTTGTTGCCCACTGGATAGGATGGTGCCTCCCTGGATGTGTTTGGTGTTACCCGCACCCTCTGCAGTGTTCCTGGAAGGGCTCTTGATGGAGGTGCATTACATTGTCTCAGTCAGCTCCAGCTGCTGTAACAAAACACCATAGACAGAGTGGCTTAAACAACAAAATTTATTTTCTTATAGTTTGGGACATTGGGAAGTCCAAGGTCAAGGTGATGCCCGATTTCGTTACTGGTGAAGGCTCTCTTCTTGGCTTGCAGGTGGCCACCTTCTTGCTGTGTCCTCACATGGCACAGGATAGAGAGTGAGATCTCTCTCTGGTGTCTCTCATAAGAACACTAATCCTGTAGGATCAGGGCCTCACCCTTAGGACTTCATTTGACCTTAATTACTTTCATACTCCAAACAGTCACATTGGGGTGAGAGCTCCAACATAGGAAATGAAGGGGGACTTAATTCAGTCCATGGCAGGCGTCATTCGTACATTCTGTTCTTTTAGTCCAGCCTCAGCCCTGGCCATCACTCCAGTATCCAGAATCCTAATGAGGTCTCACTCCAGGGATGACTGTATATTCCTGCTTCCTTGTGGTGAGGATTTGGTGACGTGACTGCTCTTTATGCCACTTTTTAAAATATATATATATTTTTTTTATTGATTTCAGAGAGGAAGGGAGAGAGAGAAACATCAATCATTGATCCTCCTGCACACTCCACACTGGGGATCAAGCCTGCAACCCAGGCATTGTGCCCTGACCAGGAATCAAACCGTGACTTCCTGGTTCATAGGTCAACACGCAACCACTGAGCCACGCTGGCCAGGCTGTGCCACTTTTCTGGTGGGACTTTTGGCCTTTGGATAGAAGGCCCAGAAGTCATCCTTCAGGTTCAACCTGGCAAGGGCAGAGTCTGCTAGAATGGTGACCCCAGGAGGGCAGGGAGCTGTGTCTGTTCCATTCTCGGAAGAGCCCTCAGCACCTAGAACGGTGCCTGGCACGTCATGGGCACTCAGGAAATGTTTGTGTAGCTGCAGTTTAACATTATATTAATGTTCCCTTTTCCTTCTTTGGAGCGGTATCAAAGGTTGAGATTATAAATTACTGTACATTGTGCATTTAATTCCATCTCTAGTCCTTGCGAAATTCATTTTCGGTAGAATGACATGTGCCAGAAGCTCAGGGAGAAAGTGAGCCGCACCCCCTGAGAACAGCCGTGGCAAACTGAAAACGGGAATCCGAGTGGAGTCGGTAAAATAGATTTCCTGAAACTCTTGAAGTTCATGTGAACTGGGGAAAGAGATTGGCATGAGTGAAGTTTGACTAAAGATGAAAACCATGTGTCTCCACGCATGGGGGGTAAATCTCGCCGGTGAGTGTGGAAGGAGGCAGGTGCCCACGGCCTTCCTCCGTGTGCGAGGAGGAGTCGCCAGGGACTCAGCGGTGTTTCTCTGATGGGTCCTCAGCTGCCAGGCAGGGTCCTCCCGGCGACATGAGCATTAGAATCGTCACTTTGCAAGGAAGGGTTTTCAGGAAAAGCACACGAGTGCCAATTATACCTCTGACTTTTATCCTAGAATTGTAATTAAGAACATGTTTACAGACCTAATTATTTGCATATTTTCCTTCAGAGTTAACCCCTTAAAAGGATCTTTAATACCTTGCTCTACTGTTCTAACTAAATGTTTCCACATTTTTTTCCAGTTAGACTCACTGTTTCACTTCTGGAAAATATTGTGTAATTACTTCCTGATGCAGCGAAAACCCCACAAAGTCCCAGTGCCATGGTTACTTCAACTTTGTGCTCCCAGATCAAGTTTCATCCCATTTTTTTTCATTTTATTTAATTAATTAGTATTAAAAAGATAGTTACTGACATGCGACTGAAGGTCTGGCCAGCTGCGGAGGCTTTAGTTTCGAATGAATCGAATATTTCTCTGGTATGTTGCAGAATTACCATTGCTTCCCATTTTTCTCAATTTGGGTTTTGAAATAGGATTCCTCTGGCTTAAGCTGATGTCAAAGTAAAATTTGTCCTATCTGATTAAATTGATTTTTCTTTATGACTGGTGTCTATCTGTAGCCAGGAACCTCATTTCTTTTTTTAAAAAATAATAAAAGTGGCTATTTTATTTCCAATCCTTCATCGCAGACCAAGTTACGTACAGAAAAAATATAAAAAATAAAACAAACATAGCCTATAGACCCACCAATGAGCTAAGTCCTTTCTCTTTTTGATGAAATAAACTCATGCATGGTTAGCAAGTTCAGAGAGCACAGGAAGAAATAAAACCCAGAGTAAACTTCTCCCCCCTTACCCTCTTTGTAAACGTAATGTTTATGGTATTTGTGTCTCGCCTGTCCTTCTTGAGCCGTTGCAGATAGAGAGAGAAAGCAGGAAGATTTGTTTGAGCACAGGTCATAGCATTGATTCTAATAGCACATAATTATAAATACAAACCTCATAGTCAAAACAAGACAGGTCCTTGTGAGGAAGGGATAGAGTTCAGTGGCTTCCTTTTCTAAACCAGGAAATAATCTATCATAAGCATTGACATAGGGAATTGACATGCTTTGATATGCCACCGAATTACAACTTTCATGTGGCGGGTTTTCCAGCTGTCCTGACCGAGGGTAAGGACTTGCTAAGTCTTTAATCCGTAAACGCAGTAGATCTGAGAGGATGTTTTACCTTTACCACAGGGTAGACTACAGCCAGCATGCGAAGTGGCACGTTGACCTTACGATGTCATTTCATTGTCATTTTCTGAGACTACCAAGCATGTACATTTATTGAATCCTGTGCAAGGACGAGTAAGGAATTTGCTGTTTCCTCGGCACGTTTACAGTCTAGCAGGGGTAACAGACAATATCACCAACTATCTGTAACACAGGATTGCTTTTAAAATAGAAGTGTGAGCCATGTGTTATGGGCCACCGGGAAGTGATCAATGCAGCCTGGAAAGCTGGGGAAGGCTGTGGGCCGTCCTGGTCCCGCAGGCGGAGGAGAGATGTGCTGCGGAGAGAAGGGAGAAGGTCCCGTTGCCCATGTGGCCTGGAGGAGGCATTCCATGCCACCGAGTGTGAGCTCAGACTGGCGTTGGTGATGTCACCGGTGCTGCTGAGAAAGCCCCCGAGGTGGTCGTGGTCTGGGGTGTTGTCCGGGTGCCCGAGCTCCCAGGGTGGTGTGTGCCGTGTGCTCAGCCTTCCTTTCTCTCTGAAGAAACTTTCTGACACTATCCCAAGTCAGCGTTCCTCTTTCTCTTCGTAAAGGAGCGTTAAAGTAAAACTTTTAACCAAAGTCTAAAAACCCTGCTTTGTGTGGGATTAGTAGCACCTACAGCATCCTGAGACAGGCTCCAGAACCCGGTGGCCTCCGGTGCTCGTGTCTGAGGGATGTCCTGGTCCCGAGCTCCGTTCCTCCCACGTGCTTTCATTCCCCATCCCTCGGAGTCCCCAGCAGGTCAGAGACTAGCGGGATGCACTCAGGGCCACCTGAGACCCGGGGGCTGTCTTTCTCTGTGTCAGCCTCGAGGTGTCCCAGCGCCACGCCTTCATGGGCCGGAGCAGCCCTGCGTGAAGAAGTGCAGTTACATGGGGGACAGAGCAGGAAGCCAGTGTCTGACTCAACAGGCACACAGCGGTAGCCACGGCTGCTCCGTTGGCGAGCCCTGAGCCCCTCAAGTGAAGCCTGGGGAGGCAGGCCTCCGTGGGTGGGTGGCCAGGAAGGGAGGGTGCTGGCAGCGGAGCCTGCCCGGAGCACTGCTGGGCCCTGCTTCTCTTACCCCCGACTTTTGGCTCCTTTCTGGCAGTGACAAGTTTGGGGTCGGTCTCCATTACAAGAGAGAACCCCTCATCTTGAGCTCAGTTTCATTTATTCTTCAATGCGGTTTCCAGATTTTATAATTTAAAAAAAAGTGTGTGTGCATGTATGTGTGTGTGCATATGCACACACACGTGTGTATGTGCGCATGTGCCTGCAAGTGTGTACTAGTATGTGCGCATGCACGTGTGTGTGAGAGGGGGCGCTGCCAAGGAAGTGGCAGGAGGAAAATGGAGATTGGTTTGCCAGGTCCATCTCTGGGTTCCTGTGCTAACTGGGGAGGGGATCCTGTGCCATCCGGGGAGGGGATCCTGTGCCGTCCGGGGAGGGGATCCTGTGCCGTCCGGGG